CGTAAAGCCCGGTATGTAGCCAGTCATGCAAATTGAGGTGTAATGCTAAGATTAAAATACACTTAAACGAGCTTCTTGGTCACTTTGTGTTCTCATCGTGTTCGGTAGAATTGTATAGGCATTTAAATTACGAAATATTTAGCAATATAGAAAGAAGTTATCACTCTCATCATTGAGAGGCCTGGGACTCAGATTATTTCCGTGCTTTGATAGGGGTGAAAATATATTTTTAGTTTATTCTAACTTATTCTCTGTCAGTGGTCATCTGGACATACAACCTTCAGCACATCCCGTGAACTAACCACTCGAGAAACAATAAACTCAGATTTTGCTCCACATCCACCCGATAAGACGTGCTTGTCTGCCAGTGTATTCAAACTCCAGATCCCTCTCTTAGATGGGTGTGTGTGTGTGTGCGTGTGTGTGTGGGCGAGTATTGTCTCAGAATTTCATTTTTTTATGTGCCTACTAAATAGCTTTCGGAGATTTGGAAGAGTCCTTTGCACAACACTATTCGACTTCGTGTTCAACCAATTTGTTGCACCCTGTGATCGATCCCGTTCTTCGCATCGTTTGCATCCGGCTCACATCAATATTTCTCACGTCCATTGTACGCTACTGTTGTTTTTTTCTCGGTTTTTAGGAAAGAGTGTTTAATAAACTCTATAAAACTGTGGTTGTGCTGAAATTGTCACTTGCAGCGATACTTTTCTGTAGTTATCCTGTGACCATTTTGCACAATTATGCATTATTTTACGTCAAAGTTATTCAGCTAACTTTTCCGCACCGAATCCTTGTGCTAAACGAAAGAATACATGTCCTCCTTGAGTTGAGTAGCCACTATGCCTTTCAAATGGTAACGTGGAGTTGATGGCAAATATCACTGTTCACACACGTGTCGCCATGTGGTAGGGAAATTGATAAATGGGATAAATGTTTGATTTATATTCGATTTACAACTTTAATGACAGTTGTTCGGGTTGACTCAACAGCTACGAGTCGAAGCGGTTATTCCCAATTGAAAGACAATCGCCAAATCCGTCGTTCCGTTGACGGAATTTATTTCCCAATAAACTCCTTTCACTCGTTAATAACTATTTTAGTGACGGTTTCCTTCATTAAAATTCCATATTTTCTGCGTTATTATTCTCTTATTTTGAAAGCTCTATTGCTACAATATTTCACGGTCGATCAACTCAATGTGCATTGTACGCGTTTGTTGAATTCTAACCGATTTTTCATGTCCATTGTAATTTTTCAGCTCTGTTTATCAAATTTATGGTTCTACATTGAATCAACTTCATCATCCCCTTTTCTCACGCGCATCACTCGGATAGGGCTTAGTAATCGATTTAAACCTAACCAACCAGAATCATATTGGGCTTAGTGGTCCGGATTGATGTGAGTTTGATGCGGTTGTACACAGGCGCACATTCATTTACACACGCACACACACTCACACAAACATATACACACACACAAACTCCTACGCATACGGACTAATGTCCCCCGTGGAACGAGATGAGGACGACTATGAACGGATGGACAGACGGACACGGCTTGCAGATAGCAGGCGGTCAGTCCAATGCTGGTACGTCCACCAAATGACTGATAAAACGGATGGCACTCAGAACGCTGTGTACTCACAATTTCGTCCTATGGAAACGCGCAGACCTGACGACACGCTAGGGTAGGACGGAAATTCTAAGCTTGGTTAATAGAACATGATCGATTCTTGTTATAAGCGTGGAAAATCTTGTGAATGGGGAGCATTTTTGTTCATGGAGATGAACTGTAGCGGAATTGCCACCTGTAGCCGATACAGACATCCCACAATCGATTGGTTTCGAGCGAAGAAGAACAAAGGAATATAAACAGTCTAACAAACCTCATCAAAATCACTGGTGATCGTTGAACGTAGCAAATGACATTACAGCCTTCAAAACTTCTGCGCAAGGTGATTTAACTGTATCGTAAACGGTGAAAACTACAGAAAATTATGAATGTGCGAGAGAAAGTTTTGGATGTGTGATGTGTGATGACTGTTTGAAACCAAAATAATTTACTGAAGCAAGCACATTGTGACTTTTGGTTCCGTTTTCTCCTCTATGGGCTTTCAGCGACGATGTTCGCTGCGACATGTCAAGCATTTTGAATGTCCTGCTCGTTTCACATCAACAAAGTATACACACAATATTAAACAGAATGAGGTCTTTTTGTGCTACAATCGATACAATGGAATAGGGTTGTTCTCAAATACGTGATTCAATGTTGAACCCAATTATCTAATTGTCTATCACCTCTGCTCACAAAAGTAGTTCAACACCGACTGCCGCTATCTAGTTAACTAGTATAGTTGTCCCCTTTAGGGTCGTGGTGAAAATTGATCTTGACGTAACCGGTTGGAAAGGGAAAGCCCTGTGACTTGATGCGGTTCACTACAACCTTTTATGTATACACTTGAAGCACTTTTTTATTTCATGTGAGTAACGCAGAGTTTGATTCAATTTCAAAGGAGAAATTCGTCGTGTATATGGCAAATGAAGCGTGAACTGAAAAGCTAGGGAGCCCTGGACAGCTGTTTTGACCGGATTGGGTCTCTTAAACAGTGCGAAGCCATCGATCCAACTGAGCAGCATGCTTGCTTTCTACCTGTGAGGCCCCGGGTTCGACCCCCAGTTGGGTCGATGGATTTGCACTGCTGATGAGACCCAACCAGATCGAAGCAGCTGTCCAGTGCTTCCTAGCTTTTCAGTTCACGCTCCATTTGCCATACGCAGGATCAAAATCTCCTTTGACATTTTTATTTTCTAAGTAACTGTCGTTAAATTTAGAAATAAGGTACCGCTCGTGTTCCTCCTGAGTAAGATAAGTGCAAGGTTAGAGAGACTTATGTCATAATGGTGCACACATTCAGGTAAAAGACGAATGCATTTGTTCAACTTCCAATATCATTACAAATTTACCCCGATGACGCATGCAGTTTATGCTTATTGTGTCTTTATGAACGCATTACCATACGATGTTACCTTAAATAATTGTTGAACCTTCTGCACAGTTTGCTTTGAGGACAAAAGCTAGACACAACTAGATGAACAAAACTTAGAGTTGCTAAAAGTTAATATCTATAATTCTATTCAGCTGGTGAAGTCATTTTTTTAACTTCTGTTTGAAGGTAAATTATTTGGAACACGTACAAGCATTTGTGACTCTTCGAGCAAGTCGTCGGGGAGACCTAACTATTTTTATCACCTCTCCAATGAATACCACGTCAATGCTGTTACGTAGACGCCCGAAAGATGCCGACAGTATACGTGGATTCACCAAATGGCCATTCATGACCACACACACGTGGGGTGAGAATCCGCGTGGTAATTGGCGTCTACGAATCGCTCTAGATCCACGCTCGAAAGATGCCTTGGGTCATGCTACTCTGACCGAGTGGATTTTGGTGCTTCATGGAACTCGTGATCCGCCGTATGCTCACTTCCCGGACGACATAGATCATATTGCGCCCAAACTGGGCGTAATTAAGCGACAACACGAAACCGGTCGTTTCAGTGTCTGAACGATNACGATGCTGTTGAGAGAAAAGATGTTGCCAAATAAGACGGACTGATCACTAGCACACTGCACTTCAATGTGAATTGTTGTCGATTGAACTCGTGAACACGTGGTCGTTTGATCTGACTGGGAAGCATGATTCTCACTATCCAGTTCAGGCACCGACGCACGCACGCACGCACAAACACACACCCAAATATACAGAAAAAGCAAACTTTATCCATTGATTTCTCTTTTGTCTTTGTTCTGTGATCGATGCAACACAGATGATATTGTCTTTGTCAGGCGCCTCTTGCAATCGCAACAACATAGCTGTTGCTTCAATTCAACTGTCTCGTGTTTTTTGTCACCACATTACTAGCGTGGGTTTCATGTGTCACTTCATTTTGGGACACAGAAAACAATGATATTTTGCGTTTCTTTCCATGATTCTTGTTTGCGCACATTCTCTGGTCTGGGTATATTTCTAAGACAACCAAATCTGGGTCTGATTTGCTTCTTACCGCCCCTCTTCTCTTTTATTCCCCCTCAAACTCTTTCACTATCCGTTACGAGTAGATTTGTTTCAACTTACCAGATATTTGTGACGTCTGAGACGATGTTGTATCACTCAGTCCGTTGTTCTGTTTTGTAGTCAGGTCTCTATTGTCCCATGTCCCACTGTCTGAATGTTTATCTTTGTCCTGCTTGCTCCCCATATTCTCGAGCCAACATCTCAGTGAATCCCCCAAGTCGAGGTAGATTGTGTGTTGTCTTGAGATTTGTCAGTCAGTTGACCACTTATTCATCTCATTAATTTTCATATCGGATTCATTCGAACATTCACATACACACACAGGCTGCCACTTCGTCCCCTCCCTTTCTGATCATGGTTACAATCTATTTTTTGGAAGATGTTTCGTTTACGAAAACATTGGTTATATTTTGATTTATCACCGACAGTCTCAAAATGACACACGTGGCACGAGTGATTCCTAGCGGTTCTACAAACAGTTACAACACCGGATGGGTCTAAAACACACAAATGAAGAATAGAACGATTTAACTGAAATCACACAATTACATATGTCTTGATATAATGTTCTTCTCTTGTGGTTATCATTCACTGGATGTTCCTTCATTCCCAGTATTATGTTTGAATCGCGTGAAGTTCAATAGCTTCAGTGGAATTTGAACCCGAGCATTGACATCACCTACGCTTTTGTAAGGCGCACGCTTTGTCAGCTGAGCTTCTGGGTCACACTGATTCAGGTAATCTTTCCCCATTTGTATCATTCAATCAGAATGTTCGATGCAGTCGCACGCACTGTTAACGAGTTCTAACCAGAACAAGCTACTTGTTTAACGCACAAGTTGTATCACAACCCGAGGTGGCCAACTTTACACGGTACAGTACAAATCGACCTGACTAGGTCTAGAAAATAGAGGCCACCAGTAAAGTTTTCTCGGATCCATCTTGATAGATCTTCTGTAATCAATCCCCCAAGTTGAAGGCAGTCGATTGGAAATATTCACGTCTTCATATGTCTCGTTCGGCGCATGTTTGCATGTCTGTGTTATATGTCGTCTTTTGGTCACACATTGATTAACCATAAGCACATATCCTCAGCAAAGTCGTGAGCATCTTGATCTCTCAATTGTTTACGATCCGCTATTCCCTGTTATACGGCCGGAGGAATCTACAAGATGGCAATGAAAAGGTGGACATAAAAATAAACTTGTGTTATCTACGGTCTATAAACAGCAAATGATGTGAAGAGTCCGCCAACCACGAAGTTCAGTGAATTCCACAGAATTATAAATTTCGCTGGAGTTTTGTTAAAACGTTTACGTAACTGTATGCCTTTGCTCATTATTCTGTTAAAGATAACTGCCAGTGGTTTATCTAAAATGCTGTTCATTTAAATGAATCGTTTGATTCATTCGCAATTCCACTACGACAGGGTTATCGAAATTGAGTATTTTCAAGATGGTGGCTGTTGTTTACTTGCCTAGATTATTGTGTTACTCCAACGGTACTAAACATGTGATCTCAAAACGTCCGGATATCATGGTAACCCATCATCTCTAGAATTGCCGCATTCCGNGGAACCCATCTAAACCTATCAGTGATGTGCCTACATGCGAACAGATGTATCCAACAAGGACGATTTCTACGAGGACCCTGAATACCCAAATGCGACGTTCCGAGCGAAAAAGAGATAGTAACGCGTGCAGCGCATCATCAGACGGTTGTAAAAGGCACATCTTGACCAAATTTGTTCTTGGTAATAGATGCCAAAAGATGTAACACGTAATTACTTTGGCTGACAGAAACTGACTGATAGTCAGCAATATGAGTTTCCAACACCGCTCAAGGCACTTTCTGACATGGTATACTAACGATGGCAGTATAATCCAATAGTTGTTTGGAGACTTTGAACTATACGGAACATTTTCGCATAATCCAAATCGCATTATGCAAAAGGCTTCTACGGGAATTTCAGATTCGCAGCTGTACAATTCAGCTTGTCCATAGTGCAGATCAGAGGCTGCAAATCGGATGGAACGCTTCGACCATATGCTCATTCATTTTTCACTCAGATCTACCCAATAGTCCTGAAAAGTTTATAAACATACAAAATCAGCTGTGACTCTCCCAACAGGAATGAAATGAACAATATACTCTGTTAGTGAGCCTCACTGACCCGCTACAATCCTTGTTTCACTCTGTAAGAAAAAAATCAAAATCCCGGCACAAAAGTGGACCACCTCGATCCAGTTTTCTAGCCCGGAGCAAACATGATGAGCCTGTATGCGGAAACCACAAGGGCATCAAACGAAAAGACATAGCAATAACCGTTTTGCAATAGCGCTGGTGATCGGCTTCGCTGATGTAAGGGAATTACAAACAAACATTTTGCCAAAGAAGTGGAAGTGCAGACCAGATCTCTACGCTTCGTCAAGTCCTGCAGCACAGCCAATGAACGACCGCATGCACCATGGACTTCCGCGCCGTTGTCGACTTTGTGGGTACGAATCCTCTTTGGAGAATAGTACCAGTCAGTGAATTACCGCGAAATTGGAAGCACTACTGAAGTTATAGTACGCAGTCACTCGGGCTCGAGTCTGAGCGTATGGCCAGGAATCATCGAAGTTCGACGTAAACTCTGGAGGTCAGCAAAGCTGTCTGTTATCGCCTGTGCAATTGAACCATGCTTTAGACTGATTGATGCACGACGCGTTTTCCAACTACTGCGGGATACCGGTTGGTTTGACTGCCTGGATATTGTAATCTTTGATGAATCACCGGACAACCGTCAAATTCATCAAATATCTAAGGGAAACCATTCAGTTGAAAATAATAAAATATAATAAATACACAAAGTCAATCAATTGCTTTGTCGCACCCCTATGAAATTAAAAAAAGACCGTTAATTTCAGAAACTGCCTATATCAGCAGTAGATACCATTATTCAGTATGAGAATTCGGACGGAGGTTTTGTGGTAAAACAAATGGGATCGATTAAAAGTACCTTACCTTCGCTACTTGTTCCCAATATTTATATTTACCTAAGGAATATAAATGTACCGTCTCGTGTTGCCATTATGTATCGAAGAAATTTTAAAAAATTATGATACCTTCAGTCGGGCATTAGCAGTCGGTATTCAGCGCTTTTTCAGCTCGCAATGTCTAGTTATGTAAACCTACTAACCATTCTTTGAAAAAATAGTTCTAACCCATTTACCGCATATAAAATCTAGATATTCTCACATTAAAATGCAATATTATGCTAAGCACAGCACCCACGATTATATACAACAGTTTTGGCAGTAGTAACGCCCGAAAATTAGTTGACGATTCAGAACACATCACATATACAGGTCTTGTCGAAACTGAAGCAACGGGTCCCTGTGAAACAGTTGTGGGTTCATATAGGCGACATCATTTATACTATAGTAAATGTTTTTCCAAATAATAATAAACAAGCCTTGTAGAGTCTTTATAGCATTGATTTTCCTGATTCATCTATACTCAGCAGATGGAATGGTTCAGAATATAGAGGATATTGTCATTTCGTCAGATGTGATTGACCTGAACCATGATGAGTTAAGAGGTAACTAGAGAGAATGGAGCAGTTTTTACTTACAATACATGAACATTGATAATAATTAAGACATAACGTTTATGTTCACTAATAGTCGATTGGTCTACCTTTGTTCTTTAGGAGTTTTTCGAGTTTCTTCGGCATGTAATCCACGTTGAGATTTGAATTTTCGGGCGAAATCAATACGAGCCTGCCTTTGCTGCGCGTTCAATGCTGGCTTTAAGTCAGCTAAAACCTGACGCATCTTAATTTTGTTCATTCTTCTTTGCAGAAGGGATTATGAATGGCAGGGAAGATCTTCCCATTGGATAGCCAACAATGATTTTCTGCAATGTTTTTCAGAGTAATACGAATCAAGTTGTCCTCCTGTTTGGATGTACTCGGTTAACATCTCCCACAAGCTTTTCTGGTTGTTGTTTTCCCATGAATTATCCTGTAAATTGTGCTTTTGCTAACGTTAAAGAACGGGGCAAGATTTGATATGGATGATCCCAGCTTGTGTGCTCGTGCAATTCTATTTCTGTCTTCTTCGCTTAGATAGAGAGAACTTTTGGTTTTGAGCGCTGCTTGCTACATTATGGTGTCAACAATACAAACATTCAAAGCTTTGCACAAGAATGACCTTGATTTCAAGTTTGATTTTGAATAAAGTGGTGTTTCTCAAATTCAGTGAGTTAGATATCAAACAAGGATTCTTAAATGAAACGTTATTTATTGTAATTTCTACGGGTTAAAAATTTCATTTGGCTATTCAATAAAGTTGACATAATGGATTATGTCGGATAAAAAATGCCTCATAACAAACAACTGAGATGGCAGGGGTTTATGAAAATAATTTCCCATAATTCTAAAGTCATTCCTATTAGAAATTATTCCGTTTTCATACTTGATAAAGTTAGCGGTTTTCATGTAGAGA